AAAACCCATCAAAATTCTTCAATCAATCAGCAGAATCATGAACACACCGAATCAAGAATCAGGTCAAAAGGATTGACTGTGGTGTATTCTACTTATATTTGAAAATGTAAGCATTATGTAACACCAGTCGCGTGTGGGATATCTGCGAGGTGAAGGACCAGAAGATTGAAATGAAGAGGAAAGAGAAGAAAACTGAAAACATTCAAGATAACAGCAGGAATTAAACTTGTAAGAGATGTAAAAGATGTCCAAATGATGTACTTGGTGCATGATTTCCATATTTTACTAAACCGCAGTGTTATTGTGTATTTATAAATAAATTGGTTGTCCTATCAAATTCTTCGTTCACAACAATATAATCAAAATAAAGATGCAGAGAATGATAATTCAAGCGTCAACAATAACCAATCGCAATTGAGGTTAACAGGAGTTGTTAATCATATGTGAGAATATTCAAACACTTCACTTCTATCGGAAGTTTGTGCTAATGACGTTATTTAGAACGACAACGAAAACCTCATGATTAAACAAGTCATTCTGGAGAACGAAACTCCGCCTAAATCATTCCCCTACTCTATAACTCTTCTAAATCAAAAATTATTGTCTTTACGTGTATCATGATACATAAGACATAAATAAAAATATATTAAATACTGTCTAGTTATGTCCTGTAAACCATTATTTATTCTTTAACGGTAGCTGAAAAGTGTTTCCAAAATCTTTTAAGCAATATTTAGAGTATTTAGTCACCTAGATACAAAAGATTAGCAACACTATATACTGTACATATTCAGCCAAAACTGCAATACTAAATACAAGTTCACTTGGCGTTGATTTACTTGTATCTACCCATTGTTATTTAGGACTGCAATTGATCAGTCTCTTAATGGCATATGTGCATCCTGTGCAGATTACCTCGATATAGCCTTAAGTCACAAGCTTTATAAATAAAGATGGATAGTGCCTATCAGTGGAATCCAGGAAGCGCGTTTCGTCCTATTTGGCACTCGCCAGCTGGATGTATCTCCATTCCAGAGTTGATGTTCACTCCGGGACTCGAACCGAGTACCGTTCCTTTTTTTAGAGAAGAAAGGTGTTTTTAAGAAATATACCTAGTCTATTCTAAGAAATATAAAATGATTAACAAATCTAAATAAGAACAGTGAATAATAATAACAATAATAATAATAATAATAATGTATATTAGCATGATATTTTAATTGTATATTTATCCCACAAAGAAGGGAAAACATAATGACCTTACGTAAAAGAATCGAAGTATTATAATATCAGGGTAATAAATTATTGTATTAATTCATTCAATATATAATTTATTGGCATGTATATTTGAATTCAGAAAAATAGTGAATCGTGTCCTTAAATGAAATACTTAGATGTACATATTAACATAAATGCATTAAATTGTATTGTACTGATTCGGTTTTCCACATCTTTAAGAATGGGACGGTAATTTGCCTTAGGCGAATATCTACACCAGATTCCCTTCCCAGTGTCTATTCTACAGGACTTCAACACAATTCAGATCAACAACATATGATTAGCCTGACTAGAATGTAAACACATTTTCACAGCAAAAACAGACAATACAACAACAACCAACAATCAGTAATAAGGAAAGGAGGATATACATCTCATCTAACGCCAATCAAACTATCTACAAATGTGACTAAACAAACAACCAATCATTATTATTCTATTCCAAACACTGATTATATTTGCTTTAAAAATCTTGTACCAGATGGCTCAATGAAACGTTGGATCTACTTCAAATTCAATCGCTAAGATTTTACAAATATATCCTTCCTAAATAATGAATTATATTAAATTAGCGCCTAAATACCATGAAACTATTCGTTCAAATTTAGACGAAAGTTCTTATATAAACAATATAATTTCTATGCCAGATTAATTGTAGGCCATAATTCAGTTTATATTAATCCAAATATTAAGAAATGAAAAATGTTAGCCATCCATTAATACTACAAATCTATTAGAATGTGATCAGGCTCCGAATTTCCTTCTTTTGAAAAGGGCACCTTTTGAAATAAACAAAAAACTAAAGATATACATTTAATCACTTTTCCCATCGCAGTCAATCTCAAACTCAAAATGTCAATAAATTATTTTAATTATACACGAAAATAATAATCCTAATGTAGATGATTTCGACTTCAGTTGTTTGTAAATTACATTCAACTAACTTAGTTATCTTTTTTATTGTAATTTTGAATAATTCAATTCACATTGATCAACAGTGCGCATCCACGATCTCGTGCGCGAACATCTAACCACTAGACCACTGAGACTGAAGGTGCTGGGTAATTGTATCGCGTGCGGAATAATGGATGCGCACTGTCGAGAAGTTACATACTAGGACGAAAAAACACATCTAGTGCATCCAGGTTTTCAGTGATGGTCTGGCTTAGATTGACTCGTGATTTCAACTTTGAAAACATTTCAATCTTTGTGATTCCCCAAAAAGTTTACAACTTGTTCAAACTCAAATTTGTGAACATTTCTATGAGAATTTATTGAAAGCAAAATAAACTTATTCTTCATTTTACCACCTATGTTTACGTCTATTTTACGATGTTTCTGTTGAAAGTAAACTTGTTTTATGAAATCAGTTAGAGTTATTTTGAAAGATTACCATTTTGGAGAATGGAAGTTCTATCCACAAAATAAATTTGTTCTTAGTAAAGAAAAACGCTAAACAAACGAGGTAAGAAAGACTGTTTTGTATCGAGAAAATATGTCAACTTCTATGTTAAAGTTAACATATTTTACTGAAACTGAAAAAAATCTCAAAACTGGTTGAATCAGTTAAAGGTATTTTATATGCATACAAATATAACTATTTTTTTGTTTGAATACACTACGCAGCATTGATTAACTACAGTTAGGCTACGATTCAAAATCAATAAACACTCAACGGGTGCTTCATTATAGACTTGAACAGCTTGGTTGTGTTTATTTACCATTTGATTATAGCCCATATCACTATTATATTTTCTTCTGTAATTAATAATCATTGTATCAGTAAACTTTGGAACTAAGACTTTAAAAGTAAAACTATTCCTTTAAGTCACATGATCTACCGCAAAATACAATAAAGTACATACGAGATTGTACGAATTTCATTTAAATACTATACAGGATTTCTTGTGTGGACGTAATTAGTTGTATTGCAGTGAATCGATGATGATACAAAAATAAATGCTAAAAAAACACTATAGTATTTCATTGTCACTTTTAATCTACTAATGTCAGCGATTATTTTGAGTTAGTTAACACTCATCAAAAAATCATATATACAATCTCGATAGAGGTAGTATCTGGCCATAAGATTTCAATTCCCTTCAATCAACATATTAATTATCGACGTTATTAATGTGTTGTATAAATCATAGCTTACCGTTTGTAGAAGTGAAATATTTACATCCTAATTGATCAGCGAGAAATAACCAGCTTCATTTAAACTAAACATTATTAGTAAATAAATTTCTGTAGTCACTTATTTACTCTGAAGATGTGGCTTAAATTAGGTTGCGAAATGTCGGAAATACAATTTTTCTACTCATTGGGATATAACAAAAATATATTTATTATTCACTAGTTATAAGTATAACACCTCCATATAACACTGCACAAAAATTTCATGTATGCAATAATCCATGAATCAGGAAAAAGATTTATGGAAAACAAAAAAATCCATATCATATGTACTTTTGGCGAAACTATAATTTATGAAGGAACCAATTAGATTTATGATAACAGGTCTTATATTTTGGCACGAAATTCATTCATTCATTTGTCTAAATTGAGTTTTGGCATTATAATTGATGTCAGTTTGTGACGAAAACCTCAAATTTAATTCTTAACCTTAACCATCAACTGTAAATTATAATTCTTATTTTCCATACTGCTTTATCACCGTCATTTAGCCGTTGTATGTAGGTAGACACTTCCAAGGTCACTTAAGTGTCACTGAAAGGTTATCCATAAATTATAGTCTCACCGTACTTTTTTATGACCCTAACTAAACGATAGACAATTATCAGTGACAGATTATTTTTCAATGGTTGAGATCATGAGTCAATTGAAGCTAGACCACCATGGAAAACCTGCAAGCACTGGACGGTCGTTTCGTCCTATTGTGAGACTCCTCATCAGTGCGCATCCACGACCTCGCCACCTGCGAGATCCCAACCCAGGACCTTTCAGTCTCGCACACGAGCGCTTAACGACTAGATCACTAAGCCGGCATCCAACGGTGTTAATGTCTAACTTCAACTAATCCACGAAATCGAGCGACACATCTATCATTCTCATCAGTGAGTTACTATCTCACAAGTGATACAGCTGACCTCTACTGGACACTACATCTCACTAGAATTCCAGGAAATACCTCTTGAAGCCAGTCACTTGTGAGCATATGTTGATTAATATCAGAAGGAGTTTTGTAGATATTATAGTAATTTTAATGGTTGAGATGATGTGTCGATTGAAGCTAGACAGAATATTTTGTTGACAGATTAATAAAATGTATATACTGTATATTGAATATTTTTTTATAGTTAGTAGTTAAGTAATATTTTTTTCTATTGAGGGAATAATAAAAGTTCTATTCACATAACTTAGCAGGTAACTACTACAATCCATTTTAATTATTCACAATAGTCTTCACAACTAAATAGTATATTTTGTTCTGAAAGCTTTAAATGAATATTCTCTTAAAATTTAAAGATTTTCTAGGTTCAACTAAAAAAAAAAGATATCATCATATGAATAATTCAATCCACATTGATCAACAGTGCGCATCCACGATCTCGTGAGCGAACATCTAACCTCTAGACCACTGGAACTGAAGGTGCTGGGTAAATTCTTTCAAAACTACATAATTTCACCATCTCAGGGTTATTTGCTTTTTTTTACTAACAATCAAAGTAAACAACACCCTTTTTAAAAATAAAACTTACTTGTATGCCTAATATTAATGTTGCTTTACGTTGTATAGAAAATATTCCAATAATTCCTAATATTATTGATGTAATACAAAAAAATACAATCCATATTAATATTGCATAACTAATTGTAATTTTTTGTAATGATATAAACATTTTTAACCATATTGGATAACTAATCACTAATAATACAGAACTAAATATAATGATACCAATGATGATTAATATTGAATTCAATATCATTGAGATAATTTTTAATTTGGCCATTTGTGAATGAAACTGTTTTTGTCTAAAACGTAAATTATGCATTAATTTTGAAGTTCGTTCCATGATGATTATTCTTTTTTCTTCTTTTTCTTTTTCTTTTATTCTTTTTTTCTCTTTTTTGTTTTATTTACTTTTAATGATCTAATTAAACGATTTTTGTAATTCTTTAAATGAATTAAATGGATAATATTTTAAATGTTATCATAATTATTGCATATTGAATTGTGTCTATGTTTAAATTTCATTGGTTTAGAATACATGTCTTTAGAAAAGAATAATGCAACCAATCAAATGAATCCAATTGAATATTTTTTTTTTAAATTTTGACCAATCAGATGATTTTGGGATTTACTGTGTTTTTTTTATTAAAAAAAATGATAAGTTGATGATTCTCATAGTATACTACTGACTATTACAACTATTACATTAATTATTTTGTTTGATCTTAAGTAACAAATGATCCCATATGACTGATTATGTACAGAAATATAATTAATCTTAAATGTTATACCTAATAAATAATCAGCATCCGTTTTTAACTTAATATTTAATGAATAATGTATTGACATTGAAAACGATAAGAGCTAGGTCTATAACACACTATGTACATTGTTGTGTCCTACGGTTCAACAAATATTCATCACATGATAAAATTGCTATTCATAATACTGATTTCTATAATCTTATTCTTGTGCTAAACCAATAATGCATCAACAAGCACTAGTAAACTTAAGTAAACTTAAGTTTTCATCCAATGCAACCCATTCAGTTTAGAACAAAAATATCAGCTACCATGTATGTCATTTATATACAAATAGATCAGACAGTATCACAAGATCAAGCCAAATATGTCTGCATGTGATACTGTAAATAATTGAATGGGAACAAATTAAGAATGATAAATAGTATAACAGTAGCCAACAGATCAAATGAAAGCTTATGACAAAAAAAATAGGAATATATGTATAATCAAATTACGTAATAATCAATCAATTGGAAAATATGCAATACTAGTTCATAAATAACTCCTAGTAGTTACTATACATTTATTCTTCGTTCGGATATAACATTTATTAACAGTAAAATGTAGGTAGATTCACCTAGTGAATGTTTATAATGTCAGTTACTATATTAAGCTCATAAGACTTGTTCTAGATTCTGGACAATTCAATTCGTCCATTCTCCTTAAGCTACATTTTGACTTTGTGAATTACTGACTTATCAATTTTGACTGTTTTTATGTTAGTGTATGTGTGTCCTTCTTATCCCATTCATCACATGTCTGTAACATACTTTTATCTGGCTATAAATATTGATTAAAGCTTGATTAAATGTAGTCGGTATACATGCCGTCTCTACTGCGCAGCATTCCGCTTCACTCTCTTCGCTTCGTCCCTCTGATTGCCTGTCCAAATCAACGATTGTACAAGATATAATTAATCAAAATCCATTCTCATATTTACTTTATTAAATTCCGTCATTCAATAACGCGATTTAAGTCAATAAATATAAACGAAAATAGTCAAGATGTATATTTCTACAGCAATCAATTATACGATCTAACTGGAGTGAGATCTTGAGCTACAAAATGTTAGACTGCCACACATTACCCTATATACATTCAAATTCTAAATTTTTAAATATCGGTCCAAAAAGCTCTAAAAGTGCAGTGATTTCAGTACACAAACAATCATCAAAGATGATATTGGATGATAGTTAAAGTATAACCAAGAGTGAATGAAAACAAAAACTGAAAACCGTGAATTTCAATTGATGTAATTTAAACTAATCATGTTTCTTATAAGGTTTTGGATTTGATCAATGTCCAATGCGTTTAACTAGGACAAAATAGCTATGCAATTCTACATTCAATTCAAATGCTTCTTGATTAATTTCAGTGTGTAATTTTAACTATACTCAATTATAACTGTGTTCACCATAAACTATGTAACGACAGTGACATAAAGTTCTAAATATGGATTATAAACTAATTGAATGATAAATAATCATCTTTTTTGACGTTTACTCATCAGTGTAATACGGTCAGAAATACATCTGAATTTTTAAAATACTAGAATGAATTACGAAGTATGTAAGGTAGTGATAGGGAGTTGAAAAAAAGTGATTTACTTTTGTTTGGTTATAAATGTTGCCAAATGAAAGTTATCTGAATTCTTGAAGAAATTTGTGTTTCCCTAAAGAATTCACATGACTGAGATTTAGTTTCACAGTCAGAGAAATCAATACTGAACAATCCAGGCTGCATTTGATCACCTGTTTGACTAAAATATTTATACTAGTTTATTATTGGGTAATAGTCGATTTCATACTTGTCGATAGCCAGCGTCTTTCTGATTCTCTTCATCCACTCAATGCCAAAATAAGTCACTTAGATTAGTTTCAAAACTACAACAGTATTGATAGAATTCCATTATCATCAAAGTACCAGATATACACGACATATATTACTATATTGACTAATAAAACAAGATATGTCAGTTCATCATCGTAGGTCGGAATCGAGTCATCTTTTTACATGTTAGAAGGTATGTTAGAAATTTATTGGAGAAAACATCCGTCATTTGTTGTGATTTTTTTTCATTGAGTAGGTATCAATATCATATAAGCCATATCTTAAATGTCAAGGATAGTTTTAATTGCTTGTAAAGCTAATGAATGTTTCAAGATGAGAATTCATATACCATGAAAAATATCTTTTTGAATACTGAGTTGTCAAATAATTGTCAAACACGAAGTTACAATTTCATTCATAACTTACTGTGTAAAAGTGGTTCACTTTCAGTGTTATTATGTGAAAGTGTCATGGAAGTTTTCAGAATAAATCTCTCTATTATTTAGTGGTTAAACTGTGTATCTGATTTTATTTCCCAATAGACTATAGTTATATGAACGGTTAAGGAGTAGCCAAATAGTAAGGGTGTTCAACCTTCGGTCTTCAAGTCACATGTTCAAACCGTACTCTACTTATTTCTGTTTGGGAAACCGAATAATATCATTGGTCATCACGTTTAGAGTGTGGTTCATGCCCAAATATTTGACGAATGAGTTAATCGAATATCTTAATTTTATGTCCGAATGACTCAAGTCAGTTTTTTAACCATTAAAGCTAACTAGCAGTATGAAATCACCACCGGTATTCAAAATAAATTGAGTAATATTACCTGCAAACTTTCACCATGTAGGTAACCTACTCTAATAATCTTGTTCAATTTGATGAATAATATTATTTTCACTTTTTTTGTATGAAACATGATATACTGACTTAACATACAGGACAATCATTGTGAAGAAGATGAATTTAGACCTTTGAACATTCGTTTAAAAAAATATGATGATTCAATAAGATATATTTTGATACATTTATTTAGTATAATAGATATATAACAATAATAATATAATAGATATCACTAACTTCTAGTCTGAGCCATGTTGGTAGATTCAGACTACTTGGTTGGGGTCCGCGTGACTATCGTAACCAATGGTTGGAGACTCTTGGTGACATGGCTCAGAATCGATCACAATGGCGTAGGTGTATACTCTCCCTGTCTTCCCTTAAACTAAGAGATTAAAATCACTTCATATCTTTCTTTCTACGAACCAATTCTTTCTTCTTGTACTATATCTCTATATGCAATCTTTCTTTTATATATTACCACCTTTGACCTAACCACTGCTGTGAATCCGGTGTTCATCTTGTTGTGCTGATGCGGTATGGCAACCTGGACCGATGCACATGTGTGCCTGGTCCTACGTTATAGCTGACTGACATTTGACAAAGGTCGAGTTCAAACAGAAGAAATGATAAAATGTAGCAAATAGTAATCAGTGTTCAATCTAACTTTGTAATTTCTTAAGAGAAGAAACCAATTGTTTCATATAATATTGAGCCAAAAATTTATAACTTTTGAGGTAACCACCCTAATTATTGTTTGATATGATGAAAAGAAAAGTCAATATTCGATTGATCAACTCATTATGAGTTTTGGTTCGAGATTATTTCCGTTTTGATTCAATGTAATGATTACTGAATGCAGTATTTGTATTCTTGTATAATATACGATATTCTTGTATTCCATTAACATGAACTATGCTCAGTATGTGACTTGTTATGACTCAAAGTATTCTTCATATATGTGGTTTCATCCTAATTATTAATCAAAATGGGTGTACAGTCAATTTATAAATGAGTATATTTCTACTAGAATCGTCGTCGTCGTCGTGTTTTGGAGTTAATAAATCTTCACTTATACCAGTCTTTGTGTTCTTACTTTCGCGTCGTGAGAATTGCAGAGGTCCCTCGTTCCGAGTATAAGTGATAAGCGTTTCCGACACAACAGTCAGAGACGACCAGATACAAAAGTAGCATTAAAAGAGCTAAGATAATAAGTATTCAAACGACATGATGAGTGTAAGCACAAAAACTAACAAGATACTCTCACATTAAGAATGGTTTCCCATTGTTTGAATAAGAAATAATAACTTGAAGAGTTAATCAAATAGAAGTGTATAATGATTTCACTGAATGACTGAAGTTCAATAAGTAGATTGTTAGATTTTTAAAATAACAGTAAAGACTCAGTACTTTTGAAAAGTTTCCAAATTAGATAACTATTTCTCCTTTTTGTGAATAAAATTATCGGTGTGACTATAATTTATGGATGACCTTTGAGCAACACTCAAGTGATCTTGGAAGTGTCTACCTACTTACAATGACTAAATGACGGTGATAAAGCAGTATGACAAATAAAGATTATAATTCACAGTTGATAGTTAAGGTTAAGAATTAAATTTGAGGTTTTCATCATGAACTGACATCAACTATAATGCCAAAACTATTTATCTAAATGGATGAATGAATTTCGCGCCAAAATCGAAGATATTTTATCATAAATCTAATTGGTTCCTTCATAAATTATAGTCTTACCAAATTATTTTTTTAAATGATTTTAGTTCTGTAACGAAGTTCATCTTTATTAAAACTCATCTTTATGAAATGATGATCCGTTTCTTAAAATAAATAAAAAATACTGAAAGATCATCTG